GGAAGCCGCAGCCGCGGGGCTTTGCACAACTTCCCGCTGACCGCCTTGTGAAACGGCCCTTCGTGACACCCCATGGGAAGTTGCCAAAGCGGGCACCCGCCCTCGGCCTCGCCCACGTGGGCAGCGGCGGCCCAGGGAGGGAGCCTGGGCCCGATGGCCTCTGCTGGGCAGAGGTGGGCGACCTGCTGTGGCCTGCTCAGTGCCCCCCAGGCAGCCTCGTCTGCCCAGCGCCCCTTCCTGCCGGCAGAGCTGACTGGTCAGCAACCGGCCGGCGAGGCTGCCCGGCTCCTTCCCAGGGCAGCCTGTCCCTCCCCGGCCTCCCCGCCGCCCGCCCCACAGACGCGCCTTCCGAGGCCGGTGGCCTGCTCTGGGGTCCCTGTCAGCGTCGCCGGGCTCAGACCCTGAGAGCCCCAGGAGCCGAGAGTCCAGGCCTCCACCGGTCCGCCCCTCGCACGTCCGGCGCTCCTGAGCCAAGGAACTCGCCCTCGTCCGCCCGCCCTGCCCGGAGCGCCCGTGGCCCGAGCGGCGTGGGTCACGGTGGGGGGTGCTGTTTGGGGCCACGGGGGGCCCCGCGCCATGACCTGGTGCCCGCGGGCCCGCTATGGGCCGTGTGGGCAGTGGTGACCCACAGGCCCCGCCACGCATCCCCGAGGGCGCCGGCTCCCTCTGTGCCAGGCCCGACGGGGCGACCCCACAGGACGCCCCGGCCACGGTGGCCTCTGTGTGCGGCCCACAGGCCCGGTCAGCCCTCGCGACTCCGGCAGTGGCCAGCTGGGCCTCCCCCACCCGCCCGTGGCCTCCCTCACGTGAGCCCCAAGCCCCTGTGGCCTCCCCTGCTTCGCCCCACTCCCAGGCATCGTCCTGGGCGCTGCTGTCTGCCAGAACCCCGCCGGGCACCGCCTGGACAGCCGTGGCCCAGCCTCCGGTCGCCCCCTCTGGACAGCCGTGGCCCAGCTTCCGGTCGCCCCCTCTGACTGCGTCCCCCTGTCTGTGTGGGCAGACACTGGGCGGACCCCGGGCACACCCCAGGTCACCCATCTGGCGCGGCGGCCAGCTGCCAGGGCCGTTTCTCACCTCGCAGCCCAGACCCACCACCGGCCTCAGCCCGCCTGTACTCCAGCGCCCCTCACTGGCTGGCCGCGGCTCCTGGACACCGCGGGGCGACGGCGGGTCCCGAGGC